TTCAAAATCTACTAAGAATCTAATTCTAATCACCAAATAGGGGTTAAATGTAGGAGTAATGCTATGTAATCTCATTGAGATTGCAACCCTAATCCAAATGACACTAAATAATTGTTTAAATGAAAAGTGAAATTAAATTAGTTATTTAATTCTACCTATCAATTAATGCAATGTTAGCACCACATAAACTGGGGTTGTTACCCTAATAGGGCTAAATAACATTACTCTTAAATGTATAGGTTATTTAGGTCAAATAAAAGGCCATCTTTCTACAAAATATCTTGGAACAAAAATTAAAAAGATAACTCTCAAATTTCGGATTATTTTGAAGGTAAAGAATGTGTCATTTAAAACGATTGAAGAAATTCAAAATTAAGGATTTTACCAAACTTTTCTTTTCTGATTCTTCCTCCATGGTGATTTTTTTTTTTTTTTCAGGTTATGTATTCATTATCAAGTTTTGTATTTTTTTCATCCAGTTACGTGTTCATCCATCTTGTATTTTCATCCATTTGTTCAGTTTTTTATTATGGTTGCTCGTTTTTAAATTAAATTCTTATTGCGTTGATTGTTTGTTATTCTTGATTGATATCCTGTTATTTAGCGAATTTTTTAAATTATTTGTTGGATTCATACCTATAAAGAGAGCTAATAAGTCTATAGCTTAAATAACAAACAATATTAATGCTTTGTTTGAGCCACATTCTTTGGAAAAAAATATATTTTTCAACAGTGATTTGACATCATTTCAACCACATATTTTTCAACAAAATAATATTACAACAAATTCAAAACTTTTCCCTATTTTTTAACCACATATTCTTCATCAATCTATTATTCCAAAATACATTCTTCCAAAATAATATGGCTCAAACACATACTAAATCTCGTAGAGATAGACATATATTTTAAAGTTTAATGCAATTTTAATTGATGATCTTAGTTTCTCTCTTTCTTAATAGACACCACAAGTACTATCCATGACACAATTAATCATTTCATAATGTTTAGAAAATAAATTTTAAATAGAGATGGAGATTTGATGGTAAATTATGTCACTAATTAATCCGTGGATAAGAAGCAAATAAATGAACAAAAAATTTTCAATGGATTTTCTAACTGCGTTTTCATTAGTAACTATATTGAGGGGAATTAATTTTGGGTAATACTGTTTAGTTTCATTGGCGTTATAACCCAATCTATATGACATATCACCTAATATTACATAATTTGATATTATAACTTTAGTGGAACTAAATAACATTATTCAATTTTTTTTTAACAACAAAAACAATTCGTCAATAAACCTTTTACAAAAACTAAAAAATAAATATTTCTAAAGCTTTTTTATTCGTATTCTGTAATTGGGTTATGCTCTATGTATCTGTTAAAAATAAAAAATAAATAAAAAAATTATCTATAGTCTTAGTACTCTTGTGAATTATTTTTGTATACTGAAAACTTTCAAATATCTAATGTGGTTCAATAATGTTCATATATTGCAATATTAGTGAATGTAGTTTTAAATAATAGTTGACATACCAATTTTATGGTACTATTGGTCTTATTTTTTCCTTTTGTCTTTCAAATCCTGAGGTTGATACAGTGAACAGTGAACACACAAAGAAGTAAGATAATTTTGAGAATATTTCTGAATTTAAAAGATTAAATTTTTTTTTAACTCGTATAGAATACTGCAAATTAGGAAATCTTAATTTTTAATTCGATAATCACTAGAAAATGATAAAACTATAACTTGATTTTGTAAAACCAAAGAAGCAGAAACCTAATTTAACAAGATTTATGGCTGAAGCCTGAAGCTGTTTTTCCAAGTGATATTTGCATGGGAGAGAAAAAGCAGGATATTAAATTTAATCCCTGTTGAGAAAATTATGAACTTGTTGGCTACTTTATGTTGAAATCTAACTAGTTGCCCCACCCTCACTTAGTCACTTATGAATCTGGTTCCATTTACTTAGTCTTTTATAAAGCCAAAGAAAAATCCAATTAATTCATGCTTTAAACTGATAGCAGGCTCGTGCAAATGCGTGAGACCTCAAAAAGCCTGTTCACGAAACCTGTAGAAAAACCAAAATTTCTCTATTTGCACATCCCCATTTGTCAGTTTGTTCGGATTCTCATTCAGTGAGAGTGCCGTGTCATACAGCAGATTAACACTTGCACTCTCGTTCAGCCAGATAGCCCACAAAAAAATACACAGTAAAATATAATATAGAATCTTTCTTGAAACTGATTGTTCAATATTAGATATGTAAATGTTTCGCCATTGTCGAGTTCTACCTCCGGCCCCAATTCAATCCTTCGTCTTGAATGTGCATTGACCCGTTTCTAATACAATCTACACCAGAGGCCGAGCTGCTACGAGTGCCCGGGGCAGTGCCATGTGATAATCCATGCCCCAAAAGTGCACCGATGCAAGTGTAAGTAGTATCTGGTGGAGGTGCTGCATACCTAGAACTGGAACCAGAGAAGGCATGGCCAACAAAGTAGTCGTTCACCGGTTGTGCCGGATACTGCGAATGCAGATTGGATGAAATCATTGTCTTGGGGACCAAGTTGGATAAAATCACAGTCTTGGAGACCAACGCAAACATTTTAAGAACTTGAAGGACCAAAATGGAAGAGTTCAAAAGAAGGGGACCTAACAGATTAAACTTGAAAGTTGAAGGGCTGAAATGGACAATATTTAAAAGTTTGAGGACTAAGTGTATAATTAAAATTAAGATCCATGGCCGCGAACTAGGGCTAAACTGCTCACGGCCCGTGCGTCGGTGTTGTCGGCCCTTTTCGATGGTCTCAAATTTTATTTTTATCTTAAAATACAATGTGTTTATTGGACATGAGTTTCGAGACACTTAGAAGACTAAGCCTCTGTTTGGTACTAATTTAAATCAAATTTAAATTTAAATTAAAAGTCATACAATCAATATTAACCACAACTTTTCAACAACACATTTTAAAAACTTTTTTCAAAATCTACTAAGAATCTAATTCTAATCACCAAATAGGGGTTAAATGTAGGAGTAATGCTATGTAATCTCATTGAGATTGCAACCCTAATCCAAATGACACTAAATAATTGTTTAAATGAAAAGTGAAATTAAATTAGTTATTTAATTCTACCTATCAATTAATGCAATGTTAGCACCACATAAACTGAGGTTGTTATCCTAATAGGGCTAAATAACATTACTCTTAAATGTATAGGTTATTTAGGTCAAATAAAAGGCCATCTTTCTACAAAATATCTTGGAACAAAAATTAAAAAGATAACACTCAAATTTCGGATTATTTTTAAGGTAAAGAATGTGTCATTTAAAACGATTGAAGAAATTCAAAATTAAGGATTTTACCAAACTTTTCTTTTCTGATTCTTCCTCCATGGTGATTTTTTTTTTTTTTTCAGGTTATGTATTCATTATCAAGTTTTGTATTTTTTTCATCCAGTTACGTGTTCATCCATCTTGTATTTTCATCCATTTGTTCAGTTTTTTATTATGGTTGCTCGTTTTTAAATTAAATTCTTATTGCGTTGATTGTTTGTTATTCTTGATTGATATCCTGTTATTTAGCAATTTTTTAAATTATTTGTTGGATTCATAACTATAAAGAGAGCTAATAAGTCTATAGCTTAAATAACAAACAATATTAATGCTTTGTTTGAGCCACATTCTTTGGAAAAAAATATATTTTTCAACAGTGATTTGACATCATTTCAACCACATATTTTTCAACAAAATAATATTACAACAAATTCAAAACTTTTCCCTATTTTTTAACCACATATTCTTTATCAATCTATTATTCCAAAATACATTCTTCCAAAATAATATGGCTCAAACACACACTAAATCTCGTAGAGATAGACATATATTTTAAAGTTTAATGCAATTTTAATTGATGATCTTAGTTTCTCTCTATCTTAATAGACACCACAAGTACTATCCATGACACAATTAATCATTTCATAATGTTTAGAAAATAAATTTTAAATAGAGATGGAGATTTGATGGTAAATTATGTCACTAATTAATCCGTGGATAAGAAGCAAATAAATGAACAAAAAATTTTCAATGGATTTTCTAACTGCGTTTTCATTAGTAACTATATTGAGGGGAATTAATTTTGGGTAATACTGTTTAGTTTCATTGGGGTTATAACCCAATCTATATGACATATCACCTAATATTACATAATTTGATATTATAACTTTAGTGGAACTAAATAACATTATTCAATTTTTTTTTAACAACAAAAACAATTCGTCAATAAACCTTTTACAAAAACTAAAAAATAAATATTTCTAAAGCTTTTTTATTCGTATTCTGTAATTGGGTTATGCTCTATGTATCTGTTAAAAATAAAAAATAAATAAAAAAATTATCTATAGTCTTAGTACTCTTGTGAATTATTTTTGTATACTGAAAACTTTCAAATATCTAATGTGGTTCAATAATGTTCATATATTGCAATATTAGTGAATGTAGTTTTAAATAATAGTTGACATACCAATTTTATGGTACTATTGGTCTTATTTTTTCCTTTTGTCTTTCAAATCCTGAGGTTGATACAGTGAACAGTGAACACACAAAGAAGTAAGATAATTTTGAGAATATTTCTGAATTTAAAAGATTAAATTTTTTTTTAACTCGTATAGAATACTGCAAATTAGGAAATCTTAATTTTTAATTCGATAATCACTAGAAAATGATAAAACTATAACTTGATTTTGTAAAACCAAAGAAGCAGAAACCTAATTTAACAAGATTTATGGCTGAAGCCTGAAGCTGTTTTTCCAAGTGATATTTGCATGGGAGAGAAAAAGCAGGATATTAAATTTAATCCCTGTTGGGAAAATTATGAACTTGTTGGCTACTTTATGTTGAAATCTAACTAGTTGCCCCACCCTCACTTAGTCACTTATGAATCTGGTTCCATTTACTTAGTCTTTTATAAAGCCAAAGAAAAATCCAATTAATTCATGCTTTAAACTGATAGCAGGCTCGTGCAAATGCGTGAGACCTCAAAAAGCCTGTTCACGAAACCTGTAGAAAAACCAAAATTTCTCTATTTGCACATCCCCATTTGTCAGTTTGTTCGGATTCTCATTCAGTGAGAGTGCCGTGTCATACAGCAGATTAACACTTGCACTCTCGTTCAGCCAGATAGCCCACAAAAAAATACACAGTAAAATATAATATAGAATCTTTCTTGAAACTGATTGTTCAATATTAGATATGTAAATGTTTCGCCATTGTCGAGTTCTACCTCCGGCCCCAATTCAATCCTTCGTCTTGAATGTGCATTGACCCGTTTCTAATACAATCTACACCAGAGGCCGAGCTGCTACCAGTGCCCGGGGCAGTGCCATGTGATAATCCATGCCCCAAAAGTGCACCGATGCAAGTGTAAGTAGTATCTGGTGGAGGTGCTGCATACCTAGAACTGGAACCAGAGAAGGCATGGCCAACAAAGTAGTCGTTCACCGGTTGTGCCGGATACTGCGAATGCAAAGGGAGGAGACGTGGTGGAGATGTGTACATGTACGGTGGCTGCGGTGGTGGTTGGTCTGGTGGAGGTGATGGCAAGAGTGAAGTACCTGAAAAAAGCCTTGTAGGGTACATTGATCTGTGTGGCATTGTTGCATCTCCGATGTTGCCTGGAGGTTGATGAAACCCTCCATTTGGAATTGGTTGGCCACTGCCAAAATAAAAATTGAGAAACAAAAAGAAAATTTGATATTTAGAGAAGCGGTATTAAGCATTTCAAGCCTTTAAGAAGAAAGACAGGTGAAAAAATGCATAAAAAGAGGGCAAGAAAAGGTAGAAAAAAAAGTATAAAAGAGGGGGGAATTTGGGGAAGGGCACATACCCTGGAAGATACCCTATGTGATGAGCTCCTGGAGCTAAATCGTTAGTGAAGACCAGTTGACGAGCCTTGTTCAGTGTTTCTGTCTCCCTTTCTGAGGAACATACACAGACATTATTAACCAAATCAAACCAAATCATGCTACCAAGAATTTCAGCAAAAAGGAAAGATTCCACAACATATTTTTTATGTGAAAACCAGATTGACATGACAATGCTTCAAAAGAAGGAAAAATCATTGGCCAAAAATGTTCAGTCTTTCAATATTTAATAACTAACTTTACTGAAACTCATGCCCTAGCTAACCATGTTGATCTTTCAAGAAAAATGCAGAAAACCCTTTCTTTTTTAAAATCCTATCCATTCCTAAAAGAAAGAAAATATAATTAATTTATAATGATGAAATGAATCGCACTGAAAAAACTTGCCTTGTCGGTGGCGATTCATGTGTCCCCCAAGGGCTTGAGATTTGCAGAACTTGAGGGAACAAAACCTACACTCATGGACCTTACCGGAATCGTCTTTTCTATCCTTACCGTCGCTTTTCTTTTTCCTGTAGCCTGAAGCTGTAAAAATTCCAATTAAAGCAACTTTGATGACCCCAAGTTTATACCTAAACTCAAACCCTAATTGCCCATATCATAAATGAATATTCCAGCCATAATCTTTTCCTGTCTTGTCGTTTTCCTGTCTAGGGCTTCGCATTGATACTCCAAAAGCCAAGAAACACTACTTACAGGAAAATATTTAGAAAATAAAAAACAAAAGAAAATCTTGGCGAAGATGGAGTAACAAAATATTGGGATTTGAAGGGAGTTTTTAGATTAAAATTGAATTCCAAAAACAAAACGGGGGTTTTCTCTTGAACTTGGATAGCTAATAATTTTTCAGGAAAAAAAATGTTCAACTCTCTTAGATTTCTAGCTAGGAAAAAGACACAACCAAACGAAGTATTATGAACTCTAAAAGACAGTTAATAGCACTTAAGACAAAGGGATATACCAGCAGATGAAGAACTGTCTTCAGAAAATTCATTATCATCTCTTGTGTAATCTTCAGGTAAATTATTGAGATCTAATGGATTTTCCTCTGATCTCCTTGGAAAAACAAAAAAAAAAAAAAAAAAAATAAAAAAAAGAAAGAGTAAATTAAAGGGTATACAAAAGAGTTAAAGAACAAGGATATAGAGAAGGAGATAAGGAGCAGCAGCAGCTGGGGGTGGGGGAGAGGGAGTTTTTGGCGTGAGACCTACATGTTACCAGACAGAGAGACAGAAAATAATGTGGTGAACAATCTTTCCGAGGGAAGATAACTAAAGCTTGTGAAATTATAAGACTTTGAGTTTGGGAATGAATGTAGAGGCTAGTTAAGTGATGGTGAAGAATGGATCGCTTCTGAGTTTTTATTTTTTTTCTGTCAGCCCCACTGGAGAATTGAAAGCACATCACAGGACAGTGGGTCTCGTGACTTTGAAAAGGAGTGAGCGGGGATAAACTTGGCCAGTAGGTCCTTGCTAGTGTCATTTGGTTAGGATTGAAAAGGAAAGAGAGAATAACAAGGACATTGCTTTTTGTTTTTGGCTTGCTTAGATACCTTGGTTTATTGCCCTAGCTACTACAACTTGTACGTAGATTCATGTCCAATGCCAAAATGCATACAAATATCGTTTAAATATTTGCATACATATAATATAATTGGAACCTATTGAAGCTTTAACTTTCTGTAAATGGCTTATCATCAAATGTGCATCTCCCTTCATACATTTATCCGATCGTCAGCTAGGGTTTATGCTGTTTTATATAACTTGGAGGGCAGTGAAGATAAAATTCAGCCCTTAGAAAAGGGCATTAATCTGGAGATTGTGATCCTATGAAAACCCGTTGGTAAAATGTACCATTGAAGTGTTTCTATCACTCTGTTATTTGCTAATAAGGCCGGTCCTATGATTATCGGGACCTGAGGCGAAGTCAATAAATTAGGCCCCCTAGTGAAAGCAACGTAAATGCAAAATTCAACAGTGCATTATGCGATCCATTGATAACTTAAAAAACTAATATTAAAACAACAAACAAATATATTATCTATTTACCCAAAATTCCCAAATTGTTGAATTTGAAACACACACAAATTTATTTTTACTATACAAAGAACTTGTACAATTAATTTTTGACAAACACACCTTACTAAAATAATTTCACTCTAAGCAAGCACCTCAATCTTTAATTATCTCATTCCTCTAAATTCTCTCACAATAATGCACTGCCCGTTTGCCTCTCTGTATCTTTCTTTCTGACTATTCTTCCTGCTCTCTTCCTTTTTTCTCTCACTAATCTCTCTCTCTCTCTGCCGACTATCTTCTCACTTTCAGGCATACACATATATTTTGTTTTTCACTTCTTTCATCTACTTATACTCAAAATGGGGAGGCTGTACACATGCATATATATGGTGAGCTATTGTCGGTGGAAGATTTCTCTGGACAATTCTAGCAAATCGGTATCGGTGGATGCAAATAATTCTTATTAATTTGGATTATTCTAGACTTCTTCTAGATTACGAAGCAATTTTGGAGACATAATCGATTGCTGTAGGCCTTGTAGAATCCATAATTGAAGGTAATTTGAAACTTTCTTCCCAAGTCGATGTTGTATCTCCATGCGAGAGGAGAGGCAGCAGGCTGGAGTCTGTGGGAAAGGCAAATGATTTCTCCTTTCAGTTTTTTCATTTAGTTGCAAAAAAAAAGGTGACGAAGTGAGGCCCCCTTCTAGGGATGTCAATTGGGCCGAGCCGGCTTGAGGCTCGCCGACTCGGCTCGTGGAAAAGAGGCTCGTGGACGGCTCGGGCTCGTGAAATCATGAGCCCGAGCACGAGCCAAGCGGCCCCCCCCCGGAGCTCGGCTCGCCGTGTAGACGAGCCGCTTAGCTCGTGGCTCGTGAGCCTGTGACCAAAACGGTCACTTTTCAATGACCATTCGGTCACTGAACTTTTTTTTTTCTCCCCCCCCCCTCCCCCCATTTTTTTTTTTTTTTTTTTTTTTTTTTTTTTTTTTTTTTTT